TTCTTCTCATCCTTCTTCTTCTTCTCATCCTTCTCCTTCTTCTCATCCTTCTTCTTCTTCTCATCCTTCTTTCTTCTCATCCTTCTCCTTCTTCTCATCCTTCTTCTCATCCTTCTCCTTCTTCTCATCCTTCTCCTTCTTCTCATCCTTCTCCTTCTTCTCATCCTTCTCCTTCTCCTTCATCCTTCTCCTTCTCCCTTCTCATCCTTCTCCTTCTTCTCATCCTTCTCCTTCTTCTCATCTTTCTCCTTCTCCTTCTTCTCATCCTTCTCCTTCTCCTTCTCCTTCCTCATCTCCAAGGGCATTTAAATTAAAGGTACAGTGTTCTGCACTAATATAAAGGCTCTCTGAAGCCTAGAAACCCTTTTTATAAGTTAAATTCGCAGCGAATAAATTCGCATCGAATCGAATTTCTTCCTCAAATTCGGGCGAATCAGCCGAATCGAATTTTTGAATAATTCGCTCATCTCTAATTACTATTACCAGGGTGGACTGATAGCTCATGGGGCCCCCGGGCAACAGGGGATCATGGGGCCCTGTGTCCTTGCCCAAACTCAAAAAAGCCTATGAGAAAGGTACCAGGGGCATCTCATGGGGCCCCCTACTGACCCCGGGCCCTCGGGCAGTGCTCGAGTTTCCAAATGGTCAGTCCACCCCTGACCACAAGTGTAAATGCGGTCTTACAGTAGTTTTAGCTACATATTTTCCCCTTTTTCAGCTGTTTGTTCAATAACAAGAACCAAGACCAAAACACTGTTTCTCACCATGAAAAGAGCACAGGGTGAAACGTTGTCCTTAGCGGGCCAGGATTCAGCTGTCACTTTTTAGATCGTTCTAAAAAAAAAAAAACTGGAAGCTTGCATCTAATACAGTACCGCAGACATGACTGTTTTTCATTTGTTCTGTTTTATATATAAATAAGCCCCACCGTATAACGCAGGAAACATCCATCAGATCAAAGCCGCCTATCACCACTTCCCAGCAAATCCACTCTGAGAATATGAGAGCATTTCATAACCTTTAAACTAAATCTCCCCTTTTCCACAAAGTATCAGAAATTAAATTAAAAAGCTGCTTTTGTCAGTCTTACCGCAGAAGTGCGGCATCGTAACGTCCCTTTGGGACATTTTATATTATTTATTGATGGAGGTATTTTAATAAGTTGTAAAATACCAGTAAAAGTCGTGGTGGTACAAGGGACTTCTGGAAAAGTCAATACAATCCAATTATTATTGTCCTTGCAAAGAACAAGTATTATATTTCAGCTCATTGTTTGAGTATAAGGCGTTCTTTCAAGCATGCACCACGTGTATTTAAAAGAGAGGGAAAAAAAAAAAAAGAATAGAAGACTCGGCAATAATGTTTGCAGCTGAATGTTCCCTGTGAATACACACAGGTAGCATTAGGAATAAATATCGCTCTTCGGGACATATTGGGACAATTGACTTAAATAGACCCTGGGTGAATTAAGTCCGTCTATTATGGACCGCTCTCAAGACTGATGGCCGCTTCATCTTCAGCCATATGTTTCCAACATTAACACTTGAGAAGGTGCCAAATTATTTGTAAATAATTTAGAAAGTCTGAGGATTAATGAACGCGCCGACTTTGCCAAGAGACAAACTTAAACTAGTTGCCGTTTATTGTAGGAAGGCCATTTCAGATGTTCTTGCAAATGTGGTTTTTTTTTTAAAAAAAAAAAAAAAGGAAGATAAAAAGTTAAACTATTGTTATAGGTGGAGGCAGGGGCGGACTGATAACCCATGGGCCCCCGGGCAATAGGGGATCATGGGGCCCTCTGTGTCCTTGCCCAAACTCAAAAAAGCCTATGAAAAAGGTACCAGGGGCATCTCGTGGGGCCCCCTACTGACCCCCGGCCCTCGGGCGGTGCCCGAGTTTCCAAATGGTCAGTCTGCCCCTGGGGGAGACTTTAGCAAGAAGTAAGACAAAATGAAAGCAGTATTAACCCCAAAACCAAAAATGTAATATATTGCAGCTTCCCAATCATTAGATGTGGTGCATTAGTTTTCTTTTTTTAGGCTTTTTTCCACTCTGTTTTCACCTGTCGATCTGGCCAGTAACCCACCTCTTGTATTAGAGCACTCCCACTCAGAGGCATAATCAGGGGCGGACTGACAACTCATGGGCCCCCGGGCAATAGGGGATCATGGGTCCCCTGTGTCCTTGCCCAAACTCAAAAAAGCCTACGAACAAGGTACCAGGGGCATCTCATGGGGCCCCCTACTGACCCCGGGACCTCGGGCACTGCCCGAGTTTCCAAATGGTCAGTCCGCCCCTGGCTGCAGGGATTTCTTTGCTAATGTTATACATCTGATAAGGCTTTCTTCTGAAGCTGATTAGATGGGTAATTCTGAAGGACAAACCTAGATGCCATGGCAGCTTCCAATGTGTCTTGGAGCATGCATGTGTGCCAATTGGGCTCACAGGCACAATCAAAGGTAGAAAAAAAAAAATCCCCTGAAAGATGATGTCTTACACCTTTGAGGACCATAAGATTACGGAACGCCAAAAGAATCAATTTTTTGTTTTTTAACCATTTCAATACCGGGCAGTTTTACACCTTCCTGCCCAGGCCAGTTTTCAGGTTTTTGTGCTCTCGCACTTTGAATGACAATTGCGCGGTCATACAACATTATACCCAAACTAAAATTTTATCATTTTCTTCACACAACTAGAGCTTTCTTTTGGTGGTATTTAATCACCGCCGGGGTTTTTATTTTTTCCTAAATTAACAAAAAAAGACCAAAGATTTTTCTTCATAAATTTAGGCCGAGATGTATTCTGCTACATGTCTTTGGTGAAAATAACCCAAATTAGGATGTATTATTTAGTTTGTAGGAAAGTTATAGAGTTCACAAACTATGGTATAGATCTGAATATTGATCAATCCTGAAGTACTGACAGCCAATCTAATTTCTTGAGGTCCAAGAATGTCAGAACAGTACAGATATCCCCCAAATGTCAGGACGGTACAGATATCCCCCAAATGTCAGAACGGTACAGATATCCCCCAAATGTCAGAACAGTACAGATATCCCCCAAATGTCAGTACAGTACAGATATCCTCCAAATGTCAGGACGGTACAGATATCCCCCAAATGTCAGGACAGTACAGATATCCCCCAAATGTCAGAACAGTACAGATATCCCCCCAAAATGTCAGGACAGTACAGATATCCCCCAAATGTCAGGACAGTACAGATATCCTCCAAATGTCAGGACGGTACAGATATCCCCCAAATGTCAGAACAGTACAGATATCCCCCCAAATGTCAGAACAGTACAGATATCCCCCAAATGTCAGAACAGTACAGTTATCCCCCAAATGTCAGAACAGTACAGATATCCCCCAAATGTCAGGACAGTACAGATATCCCCCAAATGACCCCTTTTTGCAGAGTAGACAGTCCGACGTACTTCATAAGAGGAATGGCAAGTTTTTTGAAGTTGTATTTTTTTGTCATAATTTTCCGGAAAATGAAAAAATTTAAAAAATAATTTTCACTATTTTTTTTTTTTTACATACTGTCACCAGTGCAGTACAGCGTCATCATATAACTGGCATGGCGGTGAACAGGGACACTGACTGGTGACAGTATGAAAAAAAAAATATATAAATATTTTTGTTTTAGTTTTTTTATTTTTTTATTATTTTTAATTTTTTATATGACATTTTTTTTATTTTTTTAAAGATTTTTTTTTTCATATTTTACTATGACCAAAGTAGTACAATGTTACCATAGTAACATTATACTACTTTGGGAAAGTGATCAGAATTTTTTTTTTTTTTACACAATTTGCTTATAGCAAAGAATTACTTTGCTATAAGCAAGCATTTACCTGAATGACATCGATTCATTCAGGTTTTTTTTTTTTTTTGTGCTTAGCTGTGATTTGGCCACAGCTAATCACATGACATGTGCATGTGACCTGCTGTGACCATTCACAGCTAGGCACTAGTATACAATGGATGGCATGAATGAAGCCATCCATTGTATACAACTGTCATGTGACCTGCTGTGATTGGTCACAGCAGGTCACATGGTACCGGCAACGGGGGCCGGTACTCAGATCTGTCATCGGCCGTGTCCGAGGTACACGGCGGGTGACAGATCACGCCGCTGCGTGGCTCTGCAAACGTGCAAACTGTGCATGTGCGGGAGGACGCCAAATGGAGTGCACCCGGAACGTTGAAGCATTTTTGCGGCCGCCAAATGGCTATAGGCTGGGCGGCTAATGGTTAAAGTTCGTACACTTCAGTTGCTGTAACTAAGTCATTTCATGAAATAATTGGCAAAAAGCTAGATCCATTTGTTGATAAGAACTAATATTTTGACTCAAACCAAAAAAAAAAAGTATTTTAAGTTCTTAATCAGATGATACAGGCAATTAAAAACATGGGACAAATACGTCCCTTGGTCCTCAAAGGGTTGTGCCAGTATGCATTGCATAGGACTTACCTTAACCCCTTGCCTACAGCGCACTTATACCCCCTTCCTGCCCAGGCCAATTTCCAGCTTTCAGCACTATTGCACTTTGAATGACAATTACGCAGTCATGCAACACTGTACCCATATGACATTTTTATAATTTCTTTGTGACAGATAGAGCTTTATTTTAGTGGTATTTAATCACCTCGGGTTTTTTATTTTTTCTTAAACAAACCAAAAACCACTGAAAGATTTGAAAAAAAAATGTTTTTTCTTAGTTTTTGTTATAATTTTTTTTAAATAAGTGATTTTTCGCCTTCACTGATGTGCGCTAATGAGGCTGCAGTGATGGGCACTGATAGGCTGCACTGATGGACACTGATAGGTGGAAATGATGGGCACTGATGAGGAGGCACTGGTAGGTGGCACTGATGGGCATTGACAGGCATCACTGATGGGCACTGAAAGGCAGCACTCATATATGGCACTGTTAGGCGGCACTGATAGGCGGCACTGATAGGTGGCACTGATAGGCGGCACTGACTGGCACTGTTAGGTGGCACTGACTGGCACTGTTAGGCTGCACTGATAAGCAGCACTGACAGGCACTGATAGGCGGCATTGATGCACACTGATAGATGGCACTGACTGGCATTGATAGGTGGCACTGACTGGCACTGATGGGTGACACTGAAAGGCAGCTCAAACGGGCACTGATATGTGGCACTGATGTGGCACTGATGGGCACTGGCAGGTGACATGGATGAGCACTGAGAGCTGGCACTGATGGACACTGACAGGTGGTGCTGCGGGGGCTGCACTGATCATCAGGGCACACTGATCATCAGTGCTCTGATGATCAGTGTAGATGTCCCCGCCGAGGAATGCCGATTATCGGCTCTCCTCTCCTCTGTCAGCGTGACAGCTCGTGTGGAGAGAAATGCCGATAACCAGCATTTCCCTGTGATTGGACACAGCTGATCACATGACCGAGCCATCATCTTCGGCTCTTTTCATGGATTGGTGATCTGCTGTGTCCGAGGGACACAGTGTACCGCAGATTGCCGCGCTGCGCGTTCCGGGAGCCACGCATGCGTGGTTATAATGGGAGGACGTCATATGACCTCCTCCCAGAACAAGAGAACCGCCTTGCGTCCATCATTTTACTATATGGCGGGCGGGAGGCGGTTAAAATGAAGCCCTCTAGCGGCGCGCTTTTCACCGCTCGCAAGTCTTCCATCATCACCCGGTCTTCCTCCTGGGTTTGCAAGCTCTGGCCTTCTGACCGTCAAGCCATGATGATGTGCGCAGGAGTCCCAGGTCACAGCACAGCATTCTGAAGAAACGGCACGGGTATGCCATTCCTTCAGAGTATAATCACCGGCTCTCAAAAAGAGCTGATCTCTCTTAAACCCCTTTAAGGGTTTCAGAAGCCGGGAGGCAGGCGGGGTTTTAGGGTCATCTGACCTCCGTAATTCGCTGTCACAGTGGTCACATGATCGGTTTGTTGGGTCATTTTGTATATATGTAACATGTACATGTGGTTTGATACTTTATGTGGGGTGTATTTTTTTTTTTTTTAGAAATTTGGAGCACCTATAGTAGTCCTATCATTAGACCACTCACGATTACGTGTTAATTGGACAACCAGTCCAGATTGGTGTGAGTGTCGTGTGGTTTGTTGTTTACCTACATACACTGTGTTTAGGCATCATTATCAGCTTGTGCATGTTCCTTTTTTCACTTATATAGTTGGCATTTATCACACGTACTATAATATCACTTTATTTATTTATTTATCGAGTTTATATAGCGCCAAAGGGTTTGCTCAGCGCTGTACAATAGAGGGGGGGACAATACATGAAACAGAACAGTAACATCAAACAGTACACAAGGGGTAAGAGGGCCCTACTCTTTCGAGCTTACAATCTAGGAGACTTGATTTGTGTATTCATTTTATTTGTTTTTTTTGTGGCTATTTCCATGTGTTTATACGTTTATTTTTTACAGTTTTAGGTTTTTTAGGTTAGCAGCGCCACATCATTTCCTTTTTCATTATTTGATTTATCATCTGGTATATGATTGGATGTTGGCAGCTTCATTTGATCTTCTTAGTATAGGCTTAGTCGTGCAGAAAGTTTACACTTTTTAGATGGAGGAAAATACTTTATAAATTCAGGTACCCTTTAAATTATTATTATTATTATTACTATTATACAGGATTTATATTATTATTATTATTATTATTATACAGGAATTATATTATTATTATTATACAGGTTTTATATTATTATTATTATTATACAGGATTTATATTATTATTATTATTATTATTATACAGGATTTATATTATTATTATTATTATACAGGAATTATATTATTATTATTATACAGGTTTTATATTATTATTATTATTATTATTATACAGGATTTATATTATTATTATTATACAGGATTTATATTATTATTATTATTATTATACAGGATTTATATTATTATTATTATACAGGATTTATATTATTATTATTATTATTATTATTATACAGGATTTATATTATTATTATTATACAGGATTTATATTATTATTATTATTATTATACAGGATTTATATTATTATTATACAGGATTTATATTATTATTATTATTATTATGCAGGATTTATATTATATTATTATTATTATACAGAATTTATATTATTATTATTATACAGGATTTATATGGCGCCAACAGTTTGCTCAGCACTTTACAATATAACGGGAGACAATACAGCAACAATACAGTTCAATACAAGAGGGTTAGGATCAGGGGTGGACTGACCATTTGGAAACTCAGGCACTGCTCGAGGGCCCGGGGTCAGTAGGGGGCCCTATGAGATGCCCCTGGTACCTTTTTCATAGGCTTTTTTTATTTTGGGCAAGGACACGGGGCCCCATGATCCCTTATTGGCCGGGGGCCCCATGAGTTGTTAGTCCGCCCCTGGTTAGGAGGGCCTTGCTCCTTGGAGCTTACAATCTAAGAAATTTAATGGCCCCATTAAATGGGTCTTTATACAAAGAGGGTTAGATGGACTTCCTGATCACATGACCACTGTCATTGGCTGTACAGTGTTCACATGATTGGTTGCCAAACCCATTTGATCATGACTGTCCACATGGAAGAAACATATATTTGAAATAGATTTTAAAAATATTCTTCCCAAATATATTGACATACATTGGAGATGCTACAATTGTGGCCATATTCAATATATTTCAAAATATATTTAAATATACATATATATATATATATATATATATATATATGTGTACTGCATGTTGAAATTAGTTTTTATTACACAATATATGAAAAATATATTTTAAAAATATATGTCAAATATACTGTATGTCTTTAAAAATACAAATCTACATTTTTGGAATGCATTTACAAATATATGTAAAACTGACTTTTTTATATGTTAAAAAAAATCTGGGGGGCGCATGCGCGGCCAGGGACGATGGCGGCCGCACTTTAAGTGAGCTCCGCTCATCCCGGCCAGTGAAGACTCACCCGACACTTGCTTCCGCTCTGCACTCTGCACCCGGCCCGGCACCTGAGCGAAGGCTTGATGGGGAAGATAGGGCGCTGGAGGCCCCCCTCCCCGCAACCACGTGACCCGCGGCCCTCGCCGCTCCGGAGGTTCCTCTCCAGGCCACAATCCCCAGCCTCAGGTATGACTGAGAGCCCAGGAGAGATCACGGCCCCCCCCCGGTGGTCGCAGACGGTACTGCACTCACAGACACTCCAGCCTCTGCCCTGACACACTCCCTGCTGGAGGACTATGAGCCCCAGCATGCTACTGCAAGGGCTGCGGAGCACTCTGCCTCAGAGAAGCATCCTCTTTCCACCCTGGCACCTCAACAGGCCACCCAGTCACCTTCCCTCACATTGTCAGCGTTGGATGACAAGCTACAAAATTTTTTGCGCAACATTACCGCGTCCATATCCGCTGAAATTGGAAAGCTGGCCTTGGAGCTTAGAGGGGAAATTGCCCAGATTGGAGACCGCACGGACAGACTGGAAAATGAGTTTGATGATCTGGTTCAATACGTCCACGTGCTGGAAGAGGATAACGCTTATCTGAAGCATTCCATGTCCCAAATGCAGCTCCAGCAAGAGGATCTGGAAAACAGGGAACGGCGCCAAAATATCCGTATCCGCGGTATGTCCGAGTCTATTGCAGATGCACAGTTGCACCGTCATCTTCTGTCCTTCTTTACCGCGACTGCACCCTTGGTTCCAGAGGCAGATTGGCGTATGGATAGGGCTCACCGCTCCTTGGGCCCAAAACCTGCTGAAGGCACCAGATCTCGCGACGTTATTGTTCGCTTTCATTTTTTTCAAAGCAAAGAAGCTCTACTTTCTGCTGTTCGCCATAAATCGTCTCTGGAATTTCAGGGGGACAGACTCCAACTCTTCTGCGACCTGTCCCCGATTACACTGGCTAAGTGACAAGATCTGAAACCGATCACCACACATCTTCAACAACACCGTGTCCCTTACCGCTGGGGGTTTCCCTTTCGGCTGATCGTAACTAGGGACAATACCCAAGTTGTGCTCCGTGATCTTCATGAGGCGGACTCCTTCTTAAAACGCCTGGGACTTCCACCTCTGTCTGAAGATGTATCCCCACTGCCACCAACTCCGTCTCGTCCATCCGCTACCCCCAACAAGATCTGGACCCCAGTTCGCAGAGGTCGGAAGAGACTTTCTCGTACCCCACAACGTCCGCGTCTTCCTCGGTCAACTGATCCACCTGCTTGACGATTCTCTGGGGCGCCCTTCTGAATCCGGTGATGAACCTTCCTTCCTGGGTTTTTGGTTCTTTTTGTCTTTACATAATTTTCCCACAGGTTTACCTTATCTGTCCGGCCAAATTGTCGGGTGTTTTTCAGGTTGATTTTTTTTTTTTCTGGCCGGGCTTGACGATCTTTCCGATGTCCTGGTTGTCGTGTTGCCCCCGACTTTGTCAAGCCATAGGCCTAGACGACTTGGGTCCCATTGTTATCCCCGAGTTTATATCCTTGCGGATACTTATTATACTTAGTTTTTTTATACTATTACTTTGCACTGTACTGTGTTATTCAACTGTTTTATGTTTTTTGTTTTTCACTATATTACATCGATGGTATTCCATTCATTTTTCATGCTATTACATGTAGGTCAGTTGTCGTTGTTTCATAATGGCGTTGAGGTTTCTGTCATATAACGTCAAGGGCCTCAACTCCATTCAAAAACGGTGGATGGCTTTGAGGGAATTCCGATCCTCTGGAGCAGACATTATTTTTGGCCAAGAAACCATTTTAAATCAACTGGCTGTTTTCGTTTTGCCTCGAGATTTTTTCCCCAAGCCTACTCGGCCTTTAATCCTTCTGGGAAGGCCGGGGTGGCAATCCTTATTGGGTCACACTGCTCCCTTCGGGTTGTTTCCTCCAAGGTTGACCATCAGGGTCGTTTTATTATTTTAGAGTGTATGCATGGCGAGACTCCCCTTGTTCTGTTGAATTTATATGCTCCCAATACAGGTCAACTGCAATTCCTATCCCAAAAACGCTCGCTAATCTAGACTCTATTACTACCTCGCAGGTGATTGTAGGGGAGAAATTTTAATCTGATTGTTTCCCCCCATAAAGACAGGAAAGTGCTTTTTGAGTCCAACCCCCTCGAAGCGGCAATGCTCCTCTTCAAAATCTTTCCGTAAATTGATTAGGGAGCATCGTCTCTTTGACGCTTGGCGGATTAAACACCCCCTTCATAAACAATTTACATTTTACTCCAACCCTCACCGTAGTTATTCCCACCTAGATCATTTTTTCATCTCTGCCTCTTTGCTCCCACTTCTGGTTTCCTCTGAAATCAATCCCATCACTTGGTCTGATCATGCCTCTTTGACCTTAAATCTTTTTTTTTCCCCCTGCTATGCCCAAACCGTGTCACTGGCGCCTTAATGAGACATTTCTTTCCACAGACCATCTTAGGGATGAATTGTCAGGGGACTCGATACATACTTTACTTTTAATGTC